TCTTCCTCTTCCTCTTCCTCTTCCTCTTCCTCCTCCTCCTCCTCCTCCCTTCCAGCACTGATGATGTTACCTAGATGGAAGAAAGCTTGCTTGTTTTCTGCAAGAAAACAAGCAAGCTCAGAGAGCACTAAGGACCCCACAGTTCAACCCTGATCTACAAAGACTCTCTGCTATCAAAACTCAAACCGAGGAGCACAAATTAAAGGAGCTATGGAGGAAGTCATGATCACGGAGACATCTCCGGACAGTGCTGGCTCTTCCGCATTGAAATGAAGATGAGCACCGTTCCCTAGAGTCGGGAACGACTAGCACAGATGTACGAGGAGAACCTTGACCTTTACCTATCTAACTATTGACAGAAGGCGTTCTCCTAGGTGTGGAGGAGAAAGCTCCTCTTGCAAATCGGTTTGCCCTGCCGGAACGACGGTAGAAAATGGCTCGGAAAGGTTATGATCCAATGAGAAGCAGCAACCGGGCTGGCTTAACTCCCACTGAACGATTGGGCAAATTTTCTTTGGTGCTTCATCTTCACCTTGGCGGTGCTGTTTCCCACTCATTAGCTCCCCGCTGGCCTTTATAAACAGGGGAAGCGATGCAGACACACAGACACACAGACACACACACACAAACACACACAGGCACACACATGCTACTAATCTGACAGGCCTTTCTGAAGAAAACAAATGCCCCCGCATCCTTCCTAATATCCCTGCTGACCTTGGCATCATCTTTCGGTTTGTTTAATTTGCATGACTCAACTGGAAGAGAATACGAGTCTCCCCTTGTTCTTGACCTCGAGAGTTCTTGGCATGGCAGAAGGCCGTTCCTCTTAGGCGAGCTGAAGATTTACAACAAAGGCGATGCTGAAGGCCGCCTTGAAACTTCTCCGAAGCTTTCGGCTGGGCTAAAAGGTCTTCTGCAACTGTGAACATCTCTCAAGGTTCCTCGGGAGGTGTTGTTTTCAGTACTCTGAATACAGAATGGCAAGAGATGGAAGGGACCTTGGAGGACTTCTAGCCCTACCCCTTCCTGAAGCGGGGGACCATAGAGAAAACTGTTCCCAGTTTGCACATGTGCAGAGCTGACAGATGAAGGGAACAGCTAAGGAACAAGGGCCAACTCGAGGGAAAAAGCCACAGGTGGACAGTGAATGGCCTCTCCATTCTTTGGCACTCAGCCTTCCTTATGGTCCAACCTTCACAGCCATCCATTGCAACTGGGAAAACCGTAGCCTTGAAATGCCTACCAGATCTTGGTCCCAATGGTTTTCCTTGGTCAACAATTATGCCTAGCAACAAAAGCTGGCTTCACTGCGAGGCAGGGTTATCGATCCTTCAAGAGATTTATGGCGGAAGCCCGATCACACTGCGGCAGCTAAATCCAATTCACTAAGGAATTACATGCCTCCCTGATCAATAATCTATTTATCTCCTTCACTTTGGCTTCTTTAAACATTCCAGGCCTATCAGAAGAAACAGAAAGCTATTTTTTTTATTTTTTAGACTACATGATCTTCCTTCCGTGATCACAAATACTGATGAGAAGTGTCTGTTGGGCACTTAAGTTGGTTGAGCGTTATCAGAAGGGATCTGGTTAAGCTACCATGACCAAATTTAAAAACACAGACAAGGCTTTTGAGAAACTAGCTTCTCTCCAGAGGTCAGCCAAGAATCTTTGCGTAGACCAGAGGGAGACAGAAAGTATGGTGCTTTCTAATTTCTCCTCTGTAATTTTTTTTTGCTTTTCCTCTAATGACCTTGAAAATCTTGACAAAGTCAACTGAACAGGGATCACAGAAAGGGATGACTAGCAAGAGATGATGGAGAGACAATTTCTCTCTTTTTTTGTAGTTGTTCTGATATGCTTTAGAATGAAATAGAGTTGGAAGGGACCTTGGAGGTCTTCTAGTCCAACCCTCTGCTCAGAAGACTGCTAGGTGCAGTTCGGCAGTTCAGACCTCACCTTCCATCCTTCCATCCTCCCGAGGTGGGTAAAATGAGGACCCAGATTGTTGGGGGCAAGAGGCTGTCGCTGTAAACCGCTTAGAGAGAGTTGTAAAAGCGCTATGGAGTGATATGTAAGTCTAAGTGCTATTGCTATTAGCCGGGAAGCCCTACACCACTTCAGACAAATGGTTATCCAACATCTTCTTAAAAACTTCCAGGTTAGAGCATTCCTTCCTTCCAATATCTCACAGGNGAGAGAGAGAGAGAGAGAGAGAGAGAGAGAGAGAGAATCATGCAACAGACTTTTTAACATGAATCTTGCAGTAGTATTGTTTCCTGTGCTTTCTACAACGGGTATAAAATGGTATCTAAAAATGTGCTCCATTTTTTATTATTAGACAAAATAAATAAATTCTTGGATTTGTCATGGGAAACAGAAACAAAGCCTTTCGTGAGACCGTGGTATTCTAAATTGAAGGAAGATGTATTGGCTGAAAAAATCACTTAGAATAGGAAAAAAGAGATGAGCACCACACTCCCAGATTCTTCAGCATTCTTCACACAACTTCAAAGTCCAACAAAATGATGTAGCTGCTCATGTCAATATCTGTGGGAAGATATCAGTGATGGGTTCCGGATCCTGTTGCAAATGGTACGGGGCAATGGAGCCCGGCATCCACCACATGAATGCGCACAGCATGCGCGCACACATGCGCAGCAAGTGCATTCATCCTTATCTCCTGTGAGGCTCCATGATGCCTCTGCCATGCTTCAGCTGCTCGGCGGAGCGTCGCTTAGGCACTGTACATTCCATACGCGTGCGCGGAAGTGCCGAAGAGCTCAAATACCAGTAAGGAGCTCGGGCAGGTGGGTGGGCCCTCCGGAGCACTGTACCGAGACAATACCGGTGCTCCCGGCAGGCACCTGTACGCCCATACCAGGGCATCCCGGTCGTAACCCAGCACTGGAAGACATAGACAAGATATTTCTCTCCTAGAAAAATGAGATATTTTAGGAAATATTAAAAAGACAGAATATTTCCCTTAAAAGGGAAGCAGAAACTCAGCTCCCTCACCTTTGTCAATGGGCCATTAAGGCCTGAGTGAGTCTATTCTACATAACAAAGATCTACCTCCTTCCGGCAGAGCCATAATAGGAATTCCAGAGCCCTTTCATTACATCATCATCCAACAAGGCTCAACCAAGATTGGGACTCAAAAAACAACCTACAAAATTATCCCTGCATGGCCCCATGGGAGACTGACAACTAATCAGAATACAAGCTCAAATTCAAAAGCCCAGAGAGGGGATAAAACCTAGGCACTCTTAGCATCTCCCCCCCACTTTTTCTTCGCTCAACATCTTCGAGGCACGTGGTCCTGTCCACCATTAAACCATCCTTCCAAGCAGCCTCCATGTTTCCAGTGTCTTTTTTTACGCACTTGGAACTGAACTCAGAAGGACATTTCTTCCAACAAGCATGCATGGAAAGAAGAATGACTCTGTCCTTTGATGCCTCTTACAAGGGGAACTGTTTTGCACCCCTGATCTCAAAAGACTGCACACTTCTTAGCGAGGAGACCAGAAGTGGGTTCCTACCAATTCACACCTATTCAGTAGAACTGGTTCGTCAAATCTACCGAACCGGTTAGAAGAGGTTCCACCAGTGGACCCGGAAAGCCGTCCACACCTACAGAAGAGGTTCCAAAATTTATTTGAAACCCACCACTGGTCCATGGATATGATTATTCTACACTATCATGCTCATATTTATAAAACTCAGTGCCTCTGTGAAAGGTAAGGAAGACTACTGNGCCCCAGGCCTGCTGGAATAGCCAGGTTTTAGTGGCTTTTGGGAAGGCCGAGAGAGTGGGAAGGGTCCGGATCTCTACAGGTAGATCGTTCCACGGGGTCGAAGCAGCTACAGAGAAGGCTCTCCCCCGAGGGGCCGCCAGCCATCATTGTCCGGTCAACAGCATCCGGAGAAGGCCCAGCCTGTGAGTTCAATTCTTGAACTCACAATTCTTGAATGAGGTTAAAAAAAAGGACAGTCCCGATAAATCAGACTAAGCCCCATTTTTTTTAAAGCCCAGAAAAGAATGTGATAATTTTACCCTCAAACTTTACACTGCGGTGACCACACTATCCAGATTATCAGAGAGAGAAAGAGAGGGAGGAAGGGAAGGAGGGAGAGAGATCTGGATCATAAAGCCATTCCTTTATTACTGTCTTTTTAATGGGAATTATTCAGGATATTAGAGCTGTTTTCTTTAAAAAGTGTGCTCTATTCTGGTATCAATAAACCTGTTGTCCTCTGACTTTGTTTCTTTCCTCAATTCTTTTGTTGGAACATTATAATATTCAGGAGAGAAAGGGGCACTCTAAAGTGATTCTGTTCATTCTCAGATTCATTTAAACGTCAAAAATAAGAAGGCGGGATAGACCCAATTTTTCTCCGTCCAGCTTGGCCACTGTTTTTTTTTCTTCTCCTGTGTAAAACAGTTTGAGCTTCAATGATTAGGCTCTTCCCTACTCAACCCTTACCTTGGGGAATCGTTCCTTGTAAACATGATTCATCATGACTATCTCATTATCATAGGAGGATGGAGACCGGCCCGGGCTGCAAAAAAAATAAATAAATCACAAATCAGTTGAAGTCCACAAGTCTTAAAGTTGCCAAGTTTGGGAACCACTGTTCTATTCTATTCCATTTTCTCTTTTAGAAAACTAAGCCTTAAAACTATCAAACTGCCCTTTCAGAAGTAGAATCATACTTGCTTTGGATGATATTATTTTAGGAATGAGGAGTACCCTAAATTACTTAAGAGATATTTACCCATACTTCATAACAGTCCTATAGATTTTAGGACTGGTAGCAAAGAAGCATCTCTAACTATTTCAATTTGTAAAATTGTGGCAGACATTAGATACTGGCTTAAATATATAGCTGTTGTGCGATTCCAGAAGGGGGTTGTTTTTAAACTCTTTGGCATAAAGTGTCCCTTCAGGGTTGATAAGGGACAGAAAAAAGAAAGCACATCATACGGAATTGGTCATGCAGAGGGGGGAAAAAAATTAGAAAGCAGATTTTCTTTGTATGTCATAATATAAAAAAGTATTGCTGTTTAGGCTTGTCTTGGCGGCTACCTGAGGCTCCGGGACCGAGGCCGTACTGCGGGAGACCGCCGCCCCCCGTCATCATCGGTTATACTCTCGGTGCTTCCAAAATGCTTGGACAGGAAGTGCAGCTCATCCACAGTTGGCTGATAAGGCAGCTGATGAAGACGCTCTTGGGAGGAGCAAGACGACTGTGAGGAAGAGAAGGGACAGAGTTGGCCATGTGACCATTCATTCATTCCATTTCATTTATTGAATTTCTATGCCGCCCAATCCCGGAGGACTCCGGGCGGCTTACAGAAATGAAAAAAAAAAGAATTAAAAAAGAATTATTAAAATAACGGGACACAACAAGTTAAAAAGGAACACAATCAAACGGGGCTGGACCACCATCAAGGGGTCAACAGCCCCAGGCCTGCTGGAAAAGCCAGGTTTTAATGGCTTTGCGAAAGACCATGAGAGTGGGTAGGGCCCGGATCTCCGGGGGCAGTTCATTCCATAGGGCCGGAGCAGCAACAGAGAAGGCCCTACTCCTAGGCGTCGCCAGCCGGCATTGACCCGCTGAAGGTACCCGGAGAAGGCCCGTTTGATTG